GGCCAGCCTGGGCTACAATAGTGAGTTTAAAGGTAGTCTGAACTGCATAGCAAAACCCTGGCTCAAAACCCTGTCTCAAATTTTGTCTCAAAAAGACAAAAATAAATAATAAATAGGGTTGAAGATGTAGCTCAACCATAGATCGCTTGCCTGGCACCGGTAAAACATGGGGCTTGACCTTGATAAGCCTTCAATCTATGGGATCTAAGACCCTCTCCAGGCAGATATTGTCAAAACAATTGATCTGGAGAACACCTATCTGGCATTGGCAAGCAGAATTGCTCCCTTGCTGGTGAGGAAAAAGGTCCATGCCTTTCAACGTCACTGAAGTTTTCTGATGTTGACTTTTTTTGTTGAGAGCACTAAAGATTGAACCCTGTACTTCATACTGCATTACATCTCCAGCTCTTTTTTATTCTTTATTTTGAGACAGGTTCTCACTAAGTTATTAAATGATCAAGCTACCCAGATGCTCAAGCAGGGTTAAAACTTGCAGTCCTCTTGCTTAGCCTCTTGGGTGGTAGGATTATAGGTGTGCAGTACCATCCCCGACTATTTTTTAGCTTTTTGAAACAGAGTCTCACTGTGTGGTCCAGACTGGCCTCAACTCACCATTCTTCCTGTTTTAAGTCTCCTAAACGCTAGGATTCTAAACCTGGCCTTGTGTTTTTTCACAACTTGAAATTATTTTACTTTTTGGTGCTAAGTATTGTACCCAGGGCATGTCACATGATAAGCATATATTCTCTCACCAGACTATGCCCTTTGATTTGAATTTTAATATGGGTATTCCATTCTCTAACCTTAAATATATCCTGATTCTGAAAATTTTTTTATCTTTTTTTTTAATTGGTACCGGGGATCGAACTCACGACCACCTGCTTGCAAGGCAGGTGCTTATGCCGCTGAGCTAAATCCCCAGCCCCCTGATTCTGAAAATTTACACATTTATGTTGGTTACCTGCACCATCAATGTCTGCCTTTTCTTCCCACATACGACCATTTAACCAATGACGTATTCACAAAAGGAACAGTATGCACCATTAAAAATGATGACGGGAGCCAGGTGTGATGGTGCATGCCTATAATTCCACCATTTAGGAGGCTGAGACAGGAGGACTGCCTCAAGTTCAAGGCTAGCCTGAAGAACATTAGCATTACCATGTCTCAAAAACAAAAAAAGGAAAAAGGTGATAGATACATATTTAACAGCATGGGAAGATGCTTTTTTTGTTTTGTTTTGTTTTGTTTTGTTTTGTCTTTTTCCTTTTTATCGGTACCAGGGATTGAACCCATGACTGCCTGCTTGCAAGGCAGGTGCTTATGCCGCTGAGCTAAATCCCCAGCCCCTGGGAAGATGCTTTTGATACATCATTAAATAAAATAGGTTAAACTGGGTATGGTGGGACATGCCTGTAACCTTAGTGTTCTGGGAGGCTGGGACAGAAGGGTCATATGTTCAGGCCAGCCTGGGCAACTCAGCGATTTAGAAGTCTTTGTGTCAAAAATTTAAAAATTTACAATAGGCTGAGGATGTAGTTCAGTGGGAAGACCCTGGATTCGACTCCTATACCATAAATAAATATGATCCCATAAATCCTTACTCAACTGTATGTACAGAGATATTTATAATTTTTTTAACCAGAGTGTGGTAGCACATGCTTGTTATCCAAGAAATTGAAGGCTGAGCCAGGAGCGTTACCATGAGTTCAAGGCCAGCCTGAACTACAAAGCCAGACTCTGTCTCAAAAAATATGTATCTATGTATCTGTATATCTATATTTCAAGTCTGAAGAACCAGTAGTAATGGGGCAGTGGTGATGGTATAAGTAAGGCGAGGGTTCTATTTTTTATTTATTGAAGGTAGTTTTTGGGTTTGGGTATTGAACCTAGGGCTGTGTAGATGCTAAGCACATACTGTACTGCTGAATTACATCCCTGATCTCTTACCATGTGTTCATTCCAATTTTTCTCAATTACACATAATAAAATAGTACAAAACTGGGCAATGAGGGCTGGAAATGTAGCTCATTGGTAAAGTGCTTCCCTAGCATATGCAAAGCTCTGGGTTAGATCCCTAGCAGCACAGAAATAAATAAATAAACAAACAGCCGTGTCATGGTAGTGCATGCCTGTAATTCTAGCACTCTGGGAGGCTGAGGCAGGAGAATTTTAAGTTCAAACTCAGCCTGGCCAATTTAGCAACTTAGTGAGACATTATCTCAAACTACAACAACCAATGGGAGTAGGGTTTAGGATGCAATTCAACGCAAAGGCCCTGGGTTCGATTCCCAGTGCCACATATACATACAAAAAATAAAAATTAAAAAATGAACTTGTTTATCTCCTTATTTCACGGTCTTAAAGGGTTAAATTTCTGTTTCAGTTTTGTTTAAATTTACTGGGGTTTTTATTTGCTTTATTTTGTTTTTTGAAACAGGGTTTCACTATGTAGTTCAGACTGGCATTCACCTCACTATGCAGCCCAGGCTGGCCTCGAACTCATGGCAATCCTCCTGCTTCAGCCTCCTAAATGCTGGGATTAAAGGCATGTGCCACCATAGCTGGCTCCTTTACTCTTTTTTTGGTACCTGGGATTGAACTCATAACTGTGCGCTTGTAAGGCAGGCACTTATGCTGCTGAGCTAAATCCCCAGCCCCTAAGTTTACTCTTTTGCAAGGCATGCTGAAAATACTTTGCAAATATCAACACGCATGCCAAGGATCAAACGTATATTCTAGGCGAGCACTCTACCACTGAAGCTACATACCTAGCTCAAATATTTGACTTTTTGGGGTTTTTTTGAGACAGGATTCTCACTGTGTAGCTCAGACTGTTCTTGAACTCACTATGTAGCACAGGCTGTCTTTGAACTCACAGTGATTCTCCTGGCTCAGCTTCTGCAGTGCTGGGATTATAGGCATGTACCACCATGCCTGGTTTATTTATTTTTTTAATTTTTTTCTTTTTATCGGTACTGGGGATCGCACTCAGGACCACCTGCTTGCATGGCAGGTGCTTATGCCGCTGAGCTAAATCCCCAGCTCCTATTTTTTATTTTTATACGGAGGCTCTTTATGTAGCTCAGGCCAGCCTAGAACTGATGGCAATCTTCTTGCCTTCACTTCCCAAGTGCTGGAATTACAGATGTGTGTCACCACCACACTCAGCTGAGAACTGGCATGACGTGTGGAAACAAGTCAGGCTCAGTGACACAGGGCTGTCATCCCAGCAGATGAGAAGCTGAAGCAGGAGGACCATCGCAAGTTCAAAGACAACCTGGACTGCACAGGGAGACCCCCCCCCCACCTCAAAAACAACCAGGGGAAAAAACCTAGACTGGCTTGCTGAGCTTTTCTGTTCTTTTTCCCCTCCAGTATCAGGGATTGAACTCAGGCCTTTCATAGCAGCAATATCCCTAGTTCTTTTTTATTTTTTATTTGGAGACGTGGTCTAGCTAAATTGCTAGATTGGGCTCAAGCTTGCAGTCTTCCTGTCTCAGCCTCCCAGAGTGCTGGGATTATAAGCATAGTCCACCATGTCTAGATTTTTTCTTTTGTTATTTTATATTTCTTTTTGTTAATGCTGAAAAGAATTCATGGGTTTTTTATTTATTTCCCAGAAATTCATTGGGATTGAGTGATGTCTTGCGTATTTCTTTTCCTTGCTTTTTTTTTTTTTTTTTTTTTTTGCTTTGCTCTTTAGGCGGGCCTGGAACTGTTAACCTCAAGTCATCCTCCTGCGTGGTCTCGCCAGCAGTGTGACACCAAGCCCGGCACTTGGCTGACTTGTTAAAGGTTGAGCAGCGTCCTTCCCCGTGCGGCTCCACATGCTGACACTAGGGGGCAGCCTAGTGCCCGTGTTAAATTGCAGGTCTGCCTTAATCTTGTGTCTGGCACCGCTCAGTCCAGACCTTTCTCATCTTTGAGCGCCAAACTTGACCAACCACCTTCATGTGCCAAGCTTGTCCCTCACTCTCCTATGTTCCGCAGGCAAGAGCCAAGATTCTGACCCCTAAAAAAGGTACCTTGGGCCGCTCTCACCTCTGGCTATGGGAGCACCATTCCCTGACCTGAATATACCAGAGGGATCTTGACGCCAGGCGTGGTGACGCAGTGTAATCCCAGCACTTGGAAGCCTGAGAGAGGAGGATTACTGTGAGTTCAAGGCCAGCCTGAGCTATACACCAAGACTTGTGTCAAAAACTTAACCAAACAACAAAAGGCTCTTGAAGTGGCTGGAGATTATCACTGTTGTAGCTTGGCATAACTGACGCCATCTTAAGCCCTGCATTTAACTACTGCCCTGTATTAAGGAAAATTGCTCAGGGTATAAGTGCCATGAGAAAGGCAGAATGAGCGGTACCCACAGGAGAAAAATAACCTGCTCAACACAAGAAGCAGGATACAGGTGCCAACTGAAAATTAATGAAAGATTCGAGCTGAATTTTTTTCCAACAGGATGTCTTTTGTGATTCTGTCTTTTAAAAACTCTGTAACTTTGCAGTTTGGTGCCACTTGTTTGGACCCTGAACCTCGGATGGGGGAGGGTCTGTATTCGAGTGGTTCTGAGCTCAGTTAATTAAATTCCAAATTTATCAGTTTGTCTGCTGGATTCCTATATTGCTGTCCACAAACTCACCTGAATCACCTCATGAACTCCTCTGCCCAGCTGGGGCTGGGACAGTGGTACACACCTGTAACCCCAGGTACTTCAGAACCTGAGGTAAATTTGAAACTAGCCTGGGCAATGTATCAAAACTTTAAAATTTTAAGAGCAGAAGATTCAGCTCAGTGCTAGAGCACCCCTAGTTTTGATCTCCAGTACAGAAAGGGGAAAAACAAATGAAAACCTCCTCTACGCAAAACCACAAGAGACGGGGCTGGGGATTTAGCGCAGTGGCATAAGCGCCTGCCTTGCAAGCAGGCGGTCATGAGTTCGATCCCTGGTACTGATAAAAAGGAAAAAGTCAAAAAAAAAGAAAAAAACCCGCAGGAGACACAGTTAATTCTGATTTATTTTTCACCGTCCGTAAGACCTCTCTCTCAGTTGTGCTCTTTGTCCTGCAGGAACCTTTCTGCCAGAGGCTTGTGGTCAGTGTCTCAGCACTGCCCGAGCAGAGGGGGGCAGAGATGCTGCAGTGGAGAAAGGTCCCCAAGGAGAGGCATCACCTGCCTGCCAACTTTTCCATTGCTTCTCCTTCAAAGCGGAAGGCATGCCAGCCCTCCTCCTGGGTCAGATCTCGGGTTCCTAGGGCCTTGTACAAGTCTATGGCCCTCTTGTTCCACTCCAGAACTGCCAGACGGAACTGGGAACAACCCTGATCCAAGGCCACCTGTGGGAGAACACAGCACTCGCACTGTCTTGTATCAAAACTGAAGACGTCCCACTCCCTCTCCAACCAGGGCCCTTCACATATCCACATCCGGGCCCTGTCAGGCCTCCACTGTAGCTGCACCTTCTCAGCTCACCTCAGCCACCTTCTTGATTATTTTGGAACCAATCCCTTGACCTATTGTGGGGAGAAGGGGGCAAAAGAGTTCTTGTTTGAGTGGAAGGCAGTTAAAAAAGGCCATGGGCTGTGATCAGGGGCGGGGGGGGGGGGCAGCGGGGTTGCTTGGTCTCCACCCTGGTCTCAGCCCCTGCCCAGGAGTACCCCGATATTCTGGCATCACATAGATGTCTTCCAGATAAATGTTGCGGCCCTTCCACGTGCTGTAGACGAAGCAGTACAGTCCGTAGCCCACAATGCGGGGCCCTGGGAGAGAGAGGAGAGGGGTGAGGCTGTCTCTGGAGCAGTGCATGGGAGCCCCCTGAAGCCCACTGGAGAGGGGCGCTCACCCTGGGGATCACCAGGTGCCGGAAGAATCTCGGCTACCAAACAGTGATAGAAAGGATTCTCTCCAAAGCCATCTGCCCTCAGGCCTGAGAGATTGGAGGGATGACAGGGAGACACGATCAGGGCCTGGGTGTGAGCCCAGCCGGGGGCTCTGCCCAGGGAAACAAACGCCTCATTTTCTCCCAGCAGCAGGACCCGGTGCTGAGTGTCTACCTTCCTCACTGATGGTCACCTGCTCCGAGAGCTTCTCGTACTCGGCCAGTTCCTGCGGTGGCGTGGGGACCAGGCCGATCAGGGAAGGGCCCCACTGCACCTGGCGGTGCCCGGGACCCGCCCTGCCCCACCTCCCGCTCCCGGCCTCTCCCGCATGCTGCCTTCACCCGAATGAGCCTCAGGACGTCCCCGCAGTCTCCCTCCTCGGCCTCCCGGATCCGCACGGCAGCCATCCGGATCCCCACCGTGTGGACCGCAGACAACGACCTCCCACTTCCGCTCTGCAGGGCAGGACGAGGGGCCTAGAAACTGGGATGCTGGGGAGGGCCACGTACCCAGCCAGGCTCGGTGCGGGCCAAGGGGCAGGCCGGAGCTGCCGGCAGGTGGCCCTCACCCCCCCCCCCCAACCCTCAGTCCTGTCCTGGCGGTGCACGCTCTCAGCCAATCAGCTTACAGAGCAGGCCGAGCCTCGCCCCACCTCAGCTCCGCCTCCTGCACACATCTCGTGACAGGGCCAGGTCAGAGGTCAACGCCTGGTGTCCCTCCATCAGCAGCACCGGCCTCAGAAGTCATTCCTGTAATTGACCGGAGTATGCAGAGATTGACTGTCTGCTCCGGCTTCTCTCCCCGATTCAGGGTCCCCCAGGCGCCCCTGTCTAGCAGGCTTGTTTTGGTTGCTAGGATAGAACCCAAGACCTCTAGGTACATGCTCTGCCACTGAGCTGACTTCCCAGTCCTGCTTTCTACAGCAGCTAAGCTCTAAGTGCTGCTTCGTTCAAGGGCCACTTGTGTTTTGAAATGGATCAGGGAGGCCTGGCATGGTGGCACACGCCAGGAATCCCAGCCTGGGGAGGCTGACGCAGGAGGATCGAAGTGAGTTTGAGGGCAACCTGGACTACATCCTGAGACTCTCGAAACACAAAAGCAGGCTGGGGATTTAGCTCAGCGGCATAAGCGCCTACCTTGCAAGTCCTTGGTCCTGAGTTTGATCCCTGGTACTAATTAAAAAAAAAAAAAGTTTAAAAAAACCAGAAAAACAAAAAACAAAAAAACAAAAAAACCCACAAAAACAAACAGAAAAACAGAAACAAAAAACACAAAAACAAACAGAAAGGCATGGGGAGAAAGGATGATAACTGTCTCCCCATAATCACTGATAAGAAAGAGGGAGGGAGGGCAGGCCTCTGCTTAGTATCTACTAAGTCACGCGCAGAGACAATGCTTTCTTGTGAGACAAACCCAGAGCCCTAGGAAAACTGGAGGAGTCCAGACCAGATACTGGGCCCTGTGCCTGAGTTATCACAGTGAGCCCCATCCACAAAGCCCCATATAAAGAGAGGATTATTTTCTCACTTGACAGCCAAGGACACTAACGCACCAAGATGAGCTGACTTGCCTGAGGTCCCTTAGCTGGACGCTTGAGGCCCCACGACTCATCTCTAGCCCTGCTGAGGTGCCACTCAGCAGGTGGGATCTCCTGTCTCTGAGGAGCCTCCTTCCCCAGGTGGGCAGAGTGCCTGGCAGAGCTGGGTCCTGGGTTGGCACCCAGGGGAGGTGGGGAGATGAGATGCCCAGCACCCCACTCGCTTGTTAACTGCTGTGGCGGCTGGTCATGGAGGGACTCCGCCCTTGCCCTCATTTCCTTCAGAGGGGCCAGAGCCAGTGTCCCTGTCGCTGGCCCCGTCCTTCCCAAGGCAACCTTTAACCCTTCCCTGGCCACGCATGAGGCAACCTCCCCGACTCTTCTCCTCAGAGTCTGAGCCACCGACTGGACTGCACCTGACCATGGACAGTGGAGGGCCACCAGCCACCTGCTGCCGGCTGCTGCTGCTGCTGCTGCTGCCACCTCGCATCCACCAGGGATGGGTCTTGGGACACATTCTGTCCGTCCAGGTACCCAGGGCTGAGGGTCCGCAGCCCATGTGTGTCTAAATGAGTAACCTTTGGCTCTGTCCCCTTCTCTCTTTTTTCCTGACCCAATGTAAGCATCCCTGTCCTCTCCTCTCCTCCTCTCTCTTTCTCTCTTTGATATGTCCTTTGCCCAGTTTGTTTATTTTTCTTTCTGATAGAACCTTCCTGCCAGGCACCTCCGCAGTGGCCCAGGACAAGAACCTGTTGCCGTCATGACCTTTGACTTCACCAAGATCACCAAGTATGGGGCTCACCTAGCCTTCTGACGCAACCCTGAGACCCTACCCCGCTCTGTCAGTGCCTCCGATTTTCCTGTCCACTCCCCCTGCCTGCTCTTCCTCCCCCAACCCTCAAAGGACCCAGCACACAGAGTCTTTCTTCTGTGGTGCCCTTCTAGACCGTCCTCCTCCTTTGAGTTTCGCACCTGGGATCCAGAGGGAGTGATCTTTTATGGGGACACCAAGGCTGAGGAAGACTGGTTCATGCTGGGACTGCGGGACGGCAGGCTGGAGACCCAGCTGCACAATCGCTGGGCCCAACTTACTGTGGGTGCTGGGCCTCGGGTGGACGATGGGAGATGGCACCAGGTAAGCCAGCTCGCCTCTGGGGGAGAGGTGTCTTCTCTTGAGCTGATCTGAGGGCAGGGCACAGAGATGAGTAGCTGGGCGTCACTTTGCCAGTGTCACCTCACTGGATCTGCACAGGAATGATGTGACAAGGGTGTGAGCTGTGTCTGCAAGCCCACGTTCTCTCCACCACTCTAGGCTGCTGCAGGGGAGAGAGGTGGCCACAGGCTGTGGCATCTTCACGCTGTTTCTCCTCCTTCTGCAGGTGGAGGTGAAGATCGCTGGGGACTCAGTGCTGCTGTGGGTGGACAGGGACGAGATGCTGAGCCTGAGACAGGTGTATGGGCCCCCGGCTGGCGAGCCGCAGCCCCTCCTGAGGATCGTGCTGGGGGGGCTGCCCTTTCCACCCTCCAAACTGCTACTGCCGGTACCTGCATCACCAGGATGGCAATGGGGGCCGTGGGACGGAAGCTACGTCCGGCTTTGGGAGAGGGATGGAATACAGCTGCGGGGGGAGCCAGGTGCTTGTGTCTCAGAGGAGAACTACCTGAGGTGGGGGAGGAGGCTGAGACTGGGCTTTACTGTCTTGACTGATATCCCAACATGTCCCTCTCCTTCACGGTCTCCAGCTGGTCCCTGCACTGGATGGCTGTCTGCGCCAGGAGAGCTGGCTGGGTCAGCAGACTCAGCCCTCAGCCTCTGCCTCTACCGGCCTCAGAAGCTGCAATGCAGAATTGCAGCCTGGACTGTATTTCCCTCCCGGGACAGGGGCTGAATTCGGGCTCCGAGGTAGACTACTCTGGCCAGCTCCGCCTTCCTCTGTCTCTGTGTAGCATACGCCCTTCTCTCCATGAATCCCCAGGCTTGAGGCCTCAGGAGGATCATTTCTTCCCCCAGACATTCCCCAGCCTCACACAGAGCCCTGGGCCTTCTCCCTGGACCTGGGACTCAAGCTGGCAGCTGGATCAGGCCACCTGCTTGCCCTTGGCGCACGGGAGAACTCTTCCTGGATTAGCCTTCACCTCCAAGATCAAGTAAAGGGGGACGGTGGGCGCTGCCTGCATTCAGGGAGGTTTGGGAGCAGGGAGGCAGTGAGAGAGGCATCAGGGTTCAGGATGAGGCAGGCACAGCTGAGCTTGGTGACACACCCCTCTGCTCTCAGCACCCTGGTGTCCCAGGCAGGAAGATCTCAGGACCACAGCAGCTTGGTGATCCAGTGAGACCTCGTCCTCCTCCCAAAAACAAAAAATTAAAGAGGTTGTAGCTCATGGTGAAGGGACTGGGTTCATTCCCAAATACAAGAAAGAAAGAAAGAAAGAAAGAAAGAAAGAAAGAAAGAAAGACTTAAATTGAGGCAAGAGAGAAGGGGACGGAGCCAAGCTGCCTCTCTTTAAACACACACATGGGTCTACATTCAGGAGGAATCCAGGGACTCCCCTGAAGCTGCCCAGAGTTAGCAAATACCTTTGGCTTAGAGTGCGCGCCTATTTGGGGTGGGGACGGTGACATAAGATCCAGGGAAGAAACCGGGGGCACGAGTTAAGTGGGACAACAGCCAGTGGGTGGCGATGTACTGAGAGGGGCGGATTTAAACCAGCGGATGTTGGGGCCACAGGGAGTACCTGTGGCTCACTCTTGTCTCTCTCCTCCTGCCCCTGTTCCTCATGTGGCAGAAGGTAGTGCTGACTTCTGGGGCCGGGCTGAGCCTGGACCTGCCCGTGGCCTTAGGACTCCCTCTGCAGCTGAAGCTGGCTGCATCCACAGTGATCCTCAAGCAGGGGCCAAAGACCGAGGTCTTTGCTGTGGCCCCTGAGGACCTTAACCCCCTTCTCCAGCTCTGGGCCCAGCCACGGGGCCGCCTCTTCCTGGGTGCCTTACCAGGTAAGAGAGTCTGTTCGCTTCCTCAGCAGCCAAGAGGATTGACCAAGGGCGGAGGCACCCACGGAGAGGACCAGAAAAGGGCACAGGAGAGGTGATAGGCCCGGGACACTCAACTGCAGAGCGTTTGCTTAGCCTGCCTGAGGCCTCGGATTTTATCCCCAGCACCTCCGTAAAAAGAAAAATAGGAGGATAAGGGGGCAGTGGGAGGAAATGTTTTAGGAAATTTAAGTTAAAAAACTGAAGGTGTGGGGCAGCTGCTGGATCCAAGCCACTTTAATAGTCTAACCCCAGTGTGTGTGTCACCCCCCCTCCAGGTGAGGACTCTTCTGCCTCCTTTTGCCTGGATGGCCTTTGGGCACAAGGACAGAAGCTGGACGTAGATCAGGCCCTGAGCAGAAGCCAGGATATCTGGGCTCACAGCTGCCCCCCAGAGCTCCAGCAGTGACACTGATGTCTCCAATTAAAGCCCCTTTGAATGTGACTCCTTCATTTATTCAACAGATAGTAACTGTGCACCAGCTAAGGATCAGGCCCTGTGCCAGGCACTGACATGCGTTAAAGAGCAAAAATACAGCCTCCTGGTGTCTACCAGCCCCTGGGAGAGGCAGGTTTGCGAACAAAAAGGTGGCTAGTTGGAAAATGATACATACTATAAAGGAACAATCAGAAAGTCAAAGCTGCAGTCCAGGATTTCCATAACCTAGTCCGAGAGTCGAGAAGGCACTCATTCCCTCAGGCTGTGGTGATTTGGACTGTGGTCCAAGCAGCAGCACCCACAAACACACATACACAAATACAGATGCCTTCCAAAAGCCAGGGTCCCATACTCTTGTCAATCTCTACCACCTCTGAGATTCCAACCTCCCGTCTCCCAGATCAGGATGGAATTTTACTGTCTATCATTTTGGCCTTGGATTGGCCACTGCTGCCCAGGAAAGGATCAGCAGGGGGCGTGAGAGGGTTACAGGCAGAGGGGCAGAGTTGGGGAAATGGGGGCGAGCCTGGGAGACAGGACAGACAGGAGACTGGGAGTGTGGCTCAGTGGTGGAACCCTTACTCCGTATATGGGAGGCCCTAGGCTCTATCCCCAGGACTGGGGGAAAAACTCTCCAGAAGTTAGGCACAGTGACTCACACCTGTAATCCCAGCTCTGGGCAATTTAGCAAAGTTCTAACTCAAAAACTAACTAACTAAAACTAAAATAAGTAACTAACTAACTAGAGTTAGGAAAAGTAGCTCAGGGCTAGAGTGCTTAGCATTTGCAAAACTCTGGGTTCCATTCCCAGCACTGCAGAAAAAGAAATGAAAGCCAGGTTCGGGGACACACAGCTGTAATCCCAGTTATTCTGGAGGCTGAAGCAGGAGGATCACAAACTTGAAGCTAGTCGAGACAGTTCAGCAAACCTTCGTTTCCAAATAAACAATAAAAAGACTGGGAGTGTGGCTTAGAGGTGTGGGGGGGAGGGCTGGGGAGTAGCTTAGTGGCAGAGGGCCCCTGGCCCCCAGTGCAGAAAAGAAAGACAGAAGGAAGGGAAGGGAAAGAATCTCTGCCCTCAAAAACACAGCGATCCGGGACTGGGGATTTAGCTCCGCGGCATAAGCGCCTGCCTTGCAAGTCTGTGGTCGTGAGTTCAATCCCTGGTACCAGTAAAAATACAAAAACAAAACAAAACAAAAAGCAAAGCCACAGCGATCCAGCCCTGGTCCTCCCTCAGATGTGTGGTGCTCCTCTCCTGCTCACGCCTCCAGCCCTGCAGCTTCTGCCCTCTTCAGAGCGCTTGTGTCCCAGCCTGCGCCTGCCCTCAGCCTCCTCTACCCTCCAGGCCTCACCATTTTCAACAACGGTTGGCACCTCGTATCTACAGATCTCTGGGAATCCCAGTATTCTTTTTTTTTTTTTTTTTTTTTGAGCAGTCTCACCCCTTAGTTCAGGCTGGCCTTGAATTTAAGGGGCTCTTCCTGCCTCAGACCCCCCAGCGCTGGGATTGTAGTCATTTGCCATCACACCCCGAAAGCCTGCCAATTTTTTTTTTCACCAGGTTGCGGTTACCAGTAACCAAGGCAACAGGCTGTCAGTCATTGGTTCTGTGGTCCCTTTCTGCAGGGGTCAGCCAGGATTTAAGTGACCCCAGCGGAAGGAGGTTTCAGCGCCTGGTTTGTACTCCTTTGACCTTTACCGCTCTCAGCCTTGACTCTATAGACCTTCTTGGGACCTCTGACTGCCTCCCCAACCCAGAGGTGTTTATGGGAAGTCCTCAGCGCCGCAAAGGAGTCCAAATTCAGTGCTGGCCCCTGGTTGATGATACCCATAGGCCACCTGTGTGTAGCCAGTCAACTGAATATTTATTGAGCATCTACAAGGTGCCCAGCAGTGCTCTGGATACTGATGATGTGCCAGTAAAGGACACGCACACTCAGAGATCTCACAACATGACAGAGGCAGAGAGGGGCGCAGGTGGCTCATAAAGAAAATACAATGCACCAGCATTTCAGATGGTCAGAGTCATAGAGAGAATAAATCCCCATAATATGATAGAGGAGGACAGGGGCACATTGGGTGGATGGCCAGGTGGTCAGAGAAGGTCTCCGGGGTGTAGGAGAGAAGCTGTCCTGAGAGACCCAGCTGCGCGCCGGCAGGAGAGGGTTAAAGAGCCCGGTACACCTGCGCATCACTGAGGGGCTGTTTGTTTCTGGCCTTGTTCTCTCGGGTCTCCCAGGAGCTAGTTTTCCCCTCCTCCCTCCATGCTGTCCTCTCCAGGACACTGCACCCCCAACTTCTTTCTCCAGCCTGCCCTAGATTCCAGGATTCCTGATTACCGTCCAGAGCTGTCTACACTCTTTCATTAATACTGACTTTGCTGTGCCACGGACCTTGCCAGCCCCCACCAAGGACGCTTACAATGTCTGCCCAACATCCCCTGCCTTCCCCGCACCCCCAGAAAGCCTTTGGGGAGCCTGGCAGCACATCCTGCAGCCTCCAGGCCGGCCTGCCCAGTCCCTCCACGCTGTCCACTGCCTCTCTCCTTCCCTCCCTCGGTCCTGCTCGGCCTCGTCTCTTTCTTCGAGCTGACACTTACTGGCTGCTGTCAGCGTGCCAGGCTCTGTATTAGGTAATCTGCAGGGGCCTTAAGGATGCATAAAACTTGTTACTGACCCTGGAGAACCTGGGTCTTGGGAGACAGACATGTAAAATACTTCCACAGGGTATCTATTGAATACCCTCTGAAAGCTTTTCACCTGCCTGTCAAGGACCATCAGAAAAGTGTTATTAGATGTATGTAGTTGAACAAATGCCTAAAATTTATTTAGTAGCTCTTGAGATTGAACTCAGGACATTTGCGTTGGGCTACACTCCCAGCCCCTTTTATTTTTTTAATTTTTTTTTACATTTTGAGTCTTGCTGTGTAGCCCAGGCTGGCCTGGAATTTGTGAGAATCCCCTTGCCTCAGCCTTCTGAGTGCTGGGATTTTAGGTATGAACCACTACGGCCAGCTACTTTGCTCTTTCTATTAACCTCATGCATAATTTTTTTGTTTTGTTTTGTTTTTGAGATGGGGGCTCATTACTTAGTTCAGGCTGGCCTTGAACTGAGCATGCTCAGATTGGTCTTGAACTCACCTGACCCTCCTGCCGCAGCCTCCCAAGTGTTAGGATTATGGTGCCATCACGCCCAGCATCTCATGCATAGTCCTTAGGCCTAGATATAAATCTAAACCTTTGGAATATAAAGAATGGGGAAGGGCAAATGTTGGGGGAGAAGTTCCTACCTCACCCCTAACCTTCATTTTAATAAATAAAATACAATCAACATAAAAGTTATCAATTTAGCTGATTCAGTGATTATATACCTATAATCTCTGTTATTTGGAAAGCTGAGGCAGGAAAATTGCAAGTTCAAGGCTAGCCTGGGCACCTTAGTAGATCCTGTATCAAAATAAAAATAAAAAGGTCTGAGTGTGTAACTGAGTGTAGACAGCCCATGAGTTCGATCCCCAGTACCAAAAAAAGCAAAAAAAAAGTCACTACCTTAACCTTTGCTTTTATTCATTTTTTCTCGTCTTATGTTGGGAGCCGCAGCCCCGAGCCCGGTCGCCTCACTTGGCGGACGTGAGGCCTGTAGTAAAGAGTAAAGCCTGAGGTAGATTACCCCTCCCATCGAGCACGTTAGTTTCCTGCTTACCGCGTAAGCAACCCGCTCAACAATATAGTCTGCCTGGCAACTGATGATGTTAGCCAATCAGCTTGCCTTGCTTACTTTAACATGATTGGACACTGTATCCGTATATATACTGGTGCCACCCCTGGGGGGGGAAGAAGAAGCCCGAAAGTAGAAGCCCAGAAGGAGCCGCGGGGAGCGGACCAAAAGAGGCTTCGGCTGGGAGCGATCCCAGGGCAGGCTGTACGGAGAAGGAAAATAAAAGAAAAGGTTGTCCACTGCCAGACTTTGTCGTGTGTCCTTCCTGCCGGCCAGGAGCGACATCGACATTTGGTGGCCCGTACGGGGACTGATCAACCCCGAGACACGGCGGTGGTGTGCAACGCTCCAGCGTGGTGCTGCCGGACAGGTGAGTTGGGGATAAGCCTGGGCTCTGGGTGGCGCGCACCTACAGGGCTTTTAGACTCCCCTCAGGCTCACGCGTAGGTGACGGGTTCTTTAAGTCACACGCGGTGAGTAACAGCCCTTAGAGGTTGAGAATGGGTAATTTACCGAGCGCGGAGGCGCGGCCCTTGGTAAAGGCCCTTAGGAAGCTTTTAAAAGCTAGAGACCTCAGGGTAGGTCAAAAAACACTAGAACTATTCATAGCAGAGGTAGATAGGGTGGCTCCCTGGTTTTTACCCACAGGGCATTTAAACCTGCCGTCATGGGAGAAGTTAGGCGGGGACCTCGCCTCGGCGGAATTGGGAGGCGATATTTCGCCGGCTATTCGCCCCCTGTGGGAAATGATACATGCGTGCCTTGACTCCTATGCCGAGTTGCGCCGCGAATTGTGTGCGTGCGCCGCTCGAAAAAAGCAGAGAGAGGAAAAAGGGCCCCCGAGAGCCCTCTGGCGGGGAGGAGATAGAGAGCCATCCGCTCCGCCCTGGAACTCTTCTCCAGAAGCGGCTCCCCGCCGAGAGGCCGCTACAGGGAACCCTCCCTTCTCTCAGCCGGCACAGGAAGTGACGCCCCGTTCCACTCTGTCGCGACCGCCGTCCTATGACGTTGCGCCGCGGGGCGGACGGTATTTTCATGGGCGGCTACTCTGCCGAGCAGGCTGAGAAAAACGCCGGTTGAGGAAACGGGGGCTGGGGATTTAGCTCAGCGGCATAAGCGCCTGCCTTGTAAGCAGGCAATCGCGAGTTCGATCCCTGGTACCGATTAAAAAAAAAAAAAAAAAAAAAAAACGAAAAAGACCAAAAATTAAAAAAATAAAAAATAAAAAATAAAAAGGGGGAGTAAGCCAAGGCCTGCCTCCAAAGGCGCGGTTATCTATGGCATGACAATGGATGGGCCCGGATCCGGTGGTTAGCTGGAACCGAGGCGCGGTTTGTGTTTTTCCGCAGGAACCGGGACGAAAACCACTGTGGGTCCCAGAGAGGTTGAGGCGACAAGTCCCTCGACTGAAGATCAGGCCTGTTCCACCAGGGGCCAACTGCAGACCCAACAACAAGATGAGTCCTAAAAGAACTGCAGGACAATCCCTTTTTGGGGGCCTGGAATGGCTTGCTCCCCTATGTTTTACCATTGTTAGGTCCCCTGTGCTCCTTGCTTCTGCTCTTACTTGTAGGACCATTCTTGCTCCGATGGGTTACATCATTTATTAATGGGCGCCTTGCGGCGGCCCGGCGTCAAGTACGCCTGGTTGCCCATGCGGCCCTGGCAGCAGCCCGTGATGGGCACAATGACCCCCAGGCTTACGCATGGCTCACTCGACTGGCCTACGACTGGGTCTAGATGTGGCGGGTCTTCCGCACTCCTTCCCTATTGACACTACACAGCAGGGTAGGTGAGTCAATGACGGGTAAGAGCGTGCCTTCCCCAGCATGACTCGACCTAAGCCAGGCCCTACCCCATGGCGCACGAAAGCCGCTGGATTACTAGAATCTGACCAGATCTAGATGCCTCTCCGAGGGGATCACACGGAGGGGCATGAGTGCATGCCTATGTGCATCCAGGTTCCGTCCAGTTCACTCCTGGCCCTGGAAAAAGGACGAGGGTCTCAAGGCCTTGGTGGACCCGGGGACGGCCGACCAGGGTCCAAGCCAAGGGCCTACGGTGGGCCTCAACACAGGGCATAAGCCTCTGCACTCGATCCAGGGCGGGCTGCGATGCATACATTCATTCAAAGTAAATAAAATAGGGGGAGATGTTGGGAGCCGCGGCCGACACTGGTCGCCTTACTTGGCGGACGTAGGGCCTGTGGGTGGGAGCGGAGCCTGAGCTAGATTGCCCCTCCCATCGAGTGAGTCAAGTTGGCGCCTGCTTCCTGCCCCCTGATTGCGCTGGCGACTTAAACAACCCGCTCTGTAAGATAGTCTGCCTAGCAACAACTGATGTTAGCCAATCAGCCCGCATCGCGCGCTTTGAACTGATTGGCCACTGTCACCCTATAAAAGTGAATGCCTCTCCCGCCACGAGACAGGAAGCACAGAGAAAGCACAGAGAGAGATAGAAAAAGTCCATCGGCGAGAAAGGGCTGGTGGCAGAGTGGAGGCCTCGCGGGGCCCACGCGGAGATAAATAAAGGCAAGATTGCACACCGCCAGACTTTGTCGTGTGTCTTTCCTGCCGGCCGGGAGCGACCCCGACAGTCTTAACTATTTTCAAATGCTCAGCTTGGTGGCCTCAAACCCGCTCACATATTGTGCAAACATCACTACCATTGATCCTCACAATCCTCCAATTTGCAAACACAGACCGTAGCCAGCTGTCGTGGTGCGTGTATGCAGTCCTAGCCCTCAGGAAGCGGAGGAAGGAGGATCACCCAGCCTGGCTACGGTTTAAGACCCTGTTTCAAAATAAAACAAAACAAACTCTGTTCTCACTAAAATCCCATATCCCCCTTCGCCTGCTGCAGAACCTCTTTTCTTCTTCTGTCTCTATGCAGACACATGTTGTTGGGAACCCAGACCGCTAAATCCAGAAACTTCATGGACCAGGGGAAGGGGCTGAAGGACACAGACTTCTGGACTGGGTCTGCGTAACAGGAGAAGGGTAATGGGACACTTATTCCCTTCGTCCTTCTGAACATGCTTGGGAGAGAGAGCTGGGTTCCAAGGAGAGGTCGGAGATTTTGTGCTTTTGTTTTTCTGGTTCTGGGGTTAGAGCCCAGCACCTTGCAGCCCTGAGCGAGTCTCTACCACAGAGCTACCCCCCAGCACCCTCCTTCCTTTCCAAGTGAGCCTGGGGTATGGGGCAGAGATTAAACCATGCAGTGGAGCCCGTTCCTAGGCTGGGTGGGAGTTAGGAGGGTTTCCCACCTCTCCAAGTTTCCTGAAGAAACCAAGCCAGGTGTGGTGGCCAGGTGTGGTGGCCAGGTGTGGTGGCCAGGTGTGGTGGCCAGGTGTTTCATGACTAAGCAAAATTTAGCAGCCAGGCATTACTTTTGGTAGTTCTCTAGATTGCTGGATATGAAGGATGTATCCGTAGTCTACACAAAGGCCTACTCTAAGAACCCAGAGTCTAGTTGAAAAGACAAAGCACATGGTGTATACTGTTTTTTGCTTTGCTTTGTTTTGTTTGGTTGGTTGGTTGCTTTGAGACAGGGTCTTGCTGTGCAGCCAGGCTGGCCTTGAGTTCACAGCAATCCCCTTGCCTCAGCCTCCTTAATGCTGGGATTGCAGGCATGTGTCACCGCACCTGGCAAAACATATACTTTCTTTTTCTTGCTTCCTTTTTATTTTTAAGGAGGAAAGATTTACTTATCTTACAGTTTGTAGAGTGTCAGTCCATAACTGGCTGGCTCCAAGGCAAGGCTGCGGGTGGAGGAGCATCACAGAGGAAAAACAGTTCATGGTAGCAAAGCAAGCAAAAGAAAACAGGCCTTTTCAACCCACTCGCCCAAGATAAACACTTACGCGGCATGGCCTTGTTTCTTTTACTCTACTTCCAAATAAATCCGGAATTTCTGTGGTTGCACCTGTAACCCCAGCACTCAGGAGGCTGAGGCAGGAGGGTCACCACGAGCTCCAGGCCAACCTGGGCCACACTGTGAGTTTACGATCAGCCTGCACTATATAATGAAACACTGTCTCAAAACAAACAAGTCGGGCCTGGGGATTTAGCTCAGCGGCGTAAGTACCTGCCTTGCAAGCAGGTGGTCGTGAGTTCGATCCCCGGTACCGATAAAAAACAAAAACAAACAAGTCCAGGACCTCTCTTGGTATCATTTGCCGAACTGCTGTCCTGGCCCAAGCCAGCCGCATCTCCTGCTTGGCCTGCCGCCTGCCAAGCCTTCTGTCCTGTCTCTTTTCTTCCCACACCCCAATCTCCACAGGGCAGCTAGGGTCATTTTTTTTTCTCCAGAGCTAGGGACTGAATCCAGAGTCTACACTGAACTCCATGCCTAGCCCTTTTAAAATGTTTTACTCTGCAGCGAGTACTTACTAAATCACTAAGTTGCCCAGGCAGGGCTCAACTTGCAACCCTTCTGCTTCAGCCTCCCAGAATGTTGGAATTCAGGTGTATACTTTACACATGACTTAATGAACACATATACATCTATGTGCATTCTCTTTTTCTTTCTTTCTTTTTTTTTTTTTTTTTTTTTTGTCATTTTGAGACAGGGTCTCTCTATGCAGTTCAGGCAGGCCTTGAGCTCACCTTGTAGCCCAGGCTGGTCTCGAACTCACAACGACCCTCCTGCCTCAACCTCCTGAGTGCTGGGGTCACAGGCGTGAGCCACCACGCCCGGCTATTCTCTTCTCCTTGTCCCTTCCTTTTTCCCCTGTTCCTTGTTCTCATTTGAACATTTTCTTCCTAGACCCCAATATCCATCACACATTTTGGTCCGTGTATGTTATATAATAACTTTTTTTGGCGGTGCTGGGGTTAGACCCCAGGCCTTGTGCTGAGCTGCATCACCAGTCCTTTTTCATTGTTTTAATTTTTGAGACTGAGACTTGCTAAATCACCAAATTTCCCAGTTTGGGCCCAAACTCAAAACCCCTTCTCACCCTCCCATAGTCCTGACTTTACAGGGATGTACTACCACACTTCAATTTTGTTGTTCTTTTCTCCACCTTTCCATTTAATCTCACGAGTATCAAGCGTCTAATTTGTCACTGAGCTCCACTGCCTACCCCTTTTATTTTTTAAAAAAATTTTTGAAGGGATACTAGGAATTGAACTCAGGACTTCATGTTTGCCCTTTTATATTTTATTTTTATTTATTTTTCTTGAGGGTTTTTTTTGGCATGTTTTTTATTTAATTGGTGCATTTTAAATATACATAATGGTAACATTTGTGACAAGGGATTTGTACCTGTATGCGATATACCTTGATTTTTTCCCATTCCCCTCCCCTCCCTTTGACCCCTTCCCCTCCTTATTTACAAACGCTTGTTTGCATTTTTTCTATTTTTTTTCTTGTCCTTTCCTTTTTTACCCTCTCCCTTGTTCCCCTTCCCATTAGAACATTTTCTTCCATTTCTCAATATCTGTTATACATTTTGGCTGTTATATATACTTTTGATTTCTCATGCCAGAAAAACAATGAGGTATTTAAATGTGTGTCCAATTTGTTTCACTTAAGAATATGATCTCAAGGTATAGCCACTTAACTAAAAATGCCTCGTTTATCCTTCTCTTTTGAGGCAGGGTGTCTCCATTTCAGGCAAGCCTTGAACCTACTACGTAGCCCCAACTGGTCTCAAACTCACAGCGATCCTCCTGCCTCAGCCTCTTGAGTGCCAAGATTACAGATGTGCACCACCACAGCTGCATAAGCTTATCCTTCTTTGTGGCAGAGTGGTGCTCCATTGTATAAATAACATCTTTTTTATCCATTCATTGGTTGATGGGCATTTAATATGTTTCCACAATTTAGCTATTACAAACTGCCACTATAAACATGGGTGTGCATACTATTGCTGTGGTGTGATGCTTCTGATCCTTTTGGGAAGATACCAAGAAGAGGAAGAGCTGGGTCAAATGGAACCTCTAGTATGTATGTGTGTGTGTATGTATTTCTTTCTTTTTTTTTTTTTTTTTGGTCTTTTTCCTTTTTATCAGTACCAGGGATCGAACTCACAACCGCATACTTGCAAGATAGACGCTTATGCCGCTGAGCTAAATCCCCAGCCCCTTGTATTTATTTCTTAATACAAAGTCTTTCAGGGCTAGGGATTTAGTTTAGTGGCCCAAGTACTTGCCTGGTAAGTGCAAGGTCATGAGTTCAATCCCTGGTACCACACAAAAACAACAACAAAAACCCACACAGGGTCTTTCTATGTAGCCCAGGCTGGCCGTGAATTAATTGTGTAGCCCAGGTTGGCCTTGAACTACAGTGACTCTCTTGCCTCAGCCTCCCAAGTGCTGGAATTACAGGCATGTGCCACCATGCCCAGCCTAGTTTTGTTTTTGTCAGGAATATCCCCATTGATTTCCACCATGGTTGCACCAGTCTACACTCCCACCATCAGTGGAGAAGGGCTCCTTTTGCCCCACAGCCCTGCAGCATCTGTTAGTGGTTGATTTCTTTTTTTTTTTTTTTCACGTAGAAGTTACATTTAAGTGGTTGATTTCTTGATAACAGCCATTATTTCTGGAATGAGATGGAATCTCAGTGCTGTTATGCATCTCTTTTTTTTTTTTTTTGTCTTTTTCCTTTTTATCAGTACCAGGGATTGAACTCACGACTGCCTGCTTTCAAGGCAGGCGCTTATGCTGCTGAGCTAAACCCCCAGCCCCTGTTATGCATCTCTTGAATGACCACTGATATTGAACGTTTTTCATATATATGAAATTTGCCTTTTCTCCTTCATCTGAGAAACATCTGTTCATTTCAGATGTCCATTTTTGGATTGGGTCTTCAAATTTGTGGGGGTCTTATTTTGGTTCATCTCTTCACTTTGGCACTGGGGATTGAACTCGCAACCTTGCACTTGTCAGGGAGGTGCTTACACCACTGAACTAAATCCCCTATCTCTTCACTTTGGTGATGGTTTCTTTTGCTGTGCAAAAGCTTTTTAATAAGATGAGATCCCAGTTGTTGATTCTTTGTGATCTTTCCTGTGTGATCAGTATTTGTTCATAAAGTCTTTGCCTACACCAACATCTTCAAGAGCTCTACCACGTTTATCTCCCAGCATATTTAGTGTTTCTGCTTTAATATTTAAATCTTTGATCCATTTCAATTTTAATTTAGTGCATGATGAAAGATATGGGTCTAGTTTTAGTCTCTGGCATGTGGAAAATCAGTTTTCCCCGCATCATTTATTATAGAGTCTATCTTTCTTCCAGTGAAGGTGTTTGGCTTCTTTGTCAAAGATAAGGTGGCTGAATATATTTGAACTTGTTTCTGCATTTTTTAATCTGTTCCATTGATCCTTGGGTCTGTTTTGTTGTTGTTCTGTCAGTGCTATGCTGTTTTTATCACAGTGGTTTATAGTATAATTTCAAGTCAGGGATTGCTTTGTTGCCCAAATTGCTTTCACTATTTTATATCTCTTCTGGTTCCAAATGAATTTTAGGGTTGTTTTCTCCAATTCTGTGAGATATGCTACAGGAATTTTGATTGTAATTGCATTAAGTCTGTGTAACAGT